CTTTAATAATAGCCTGACATGCGACAACTTCAATACCTGTAAATTGTGGAAGATTCACTCTATAGAAAGAATGGCACTTTTTGATCCCCAAAAGTACCCCTCCTCCACGCGAATCCTTACGATCCAGTCGAATAATGTTAAAATCATAAAAAGGAAGATCTATATCTGAAGACAGCCAAGTTTCACAAAGAGCAAATGCATCACAATCATTATTGTGAACTAAAAACTTAAAAGAGTCTAATTTAGGAATAAGACTTCGACAATTCCACTGTAGAATAGTGATCAAATCCCCGACCTCGTTTGGAAAATTATCCATCGAAGGAAATGATTGCTGCAATGAGGGGCCACTTCAATGTCAATTGCTTCAAGAGGGTCTTCACAGTAGGAAGCATTGCCAGAACAATGCTTTTGAGAGGATCAGAAATATTCAGGTGCTTGAGAATATCTTCCACAATTTTATCAAATGAGAACAACCCAGATGAAGAAGGGGCTTCTGTTCTTAAAAATGGGACATCAGGGGTTTTGGATGTCCCCGGGAGAGGTGGAAAATCCTGGGTATAGTCAGTTCTTCTGAATCCAGGAGGAGTAGAAACTTCCTTTTTTCCACCACTCCTTGATTTGGGCAAGCTGATTTGGGGTTCTTCATTCTCAACTTTCCGCGAACGGATGCGTTTTCGTTTCCGTGCTGAAAAACAGAAAGAAGTTCCCTCCTCAGCCAAGTCAGAGTCAGTCTCGTCATCTGACAAAAGAGAAAAGGGATTTTTGTCGTTGGTCGATGGCGTGGCCGTCTTAAGCATTTCTGCAAAAGACTGCCGGGAACGTTCCTTAAGTGAGCGTTGTAATTTCTCCCCGCGTTGTTTGTACACCGGGCATGACGAGATACCATGAGGAGTTCCCTTACAGTACACGCATTTTGGTGCGGTAGCTGCACAGGTGTCATCCCCATGCTTCTCTCCGCATTTGGAACAGCGTGCCTTGCTGCCACAGTGGGAGGCCGTATGTCCCAACTGCTTACAGTTTTGGCAGTTCATGACCCGGGGAACGAACAAGCGCACAGGTAGTCGAAGTTTTCCCAGCTCGATGTAGTGAGGAAGGGCTGAACCAGAAAAGGTCACACGGAACGAGTCTGTGGGGGTAAAACTCTTTTTACCCTCGCTGACAGATACTGAGCCCAGTTTTTGGACATCCAGTATCTTCACCGGAGGAAGCAAACGGTTCTTGAAACGGCCAACCGCCTGCTTCTCCAAGATCTCGGGGGTCAGACTCGCTTCGGTGACCACACCTTCGATCTCCACATCACGAGCTGGGATGTAAACTCTGTACTCGAGCGTGAAGAGCTGGGAGGCAGCAATCTCGTTAGCCTGCTTCAGGTTAGAGACGGAGACACGAAGTTTATTGTGCCTAACCTTCGTGATTTCAGTCACGGCCGAGTATCGCTTCGTCAGATCATTAGTAATTTGCATTACATTCAAAGGTTTGTTTCTGGGCTGAAAGTAGACAACCCATGGGCCAGTCGAGTCATCTGGATAGGCTCGCGATCGGGGGTTTATCTGAGCCTGTCCTTTGCCAGACTGAGACGATGAACCAGGGAGAGATGACGTACGTTTTCGACCCTTCTTGCCATCGCGTGGCAAAGTGGTGTCATCTTCCGACAAAACGTCCATTTCGTCTTGCGACAAAATGTCCATTTTGCCGTACTAGTGGGAGCGAAAAACGCTCTACCACTGAAACGATAATCACTCGGACACAATACACAAAAAAACTACAAACACAGAACACAAACTTAAAATTTAACTGTGGGCGAAAGAGAGAAACAAGAACAAAAACTTATCTGATAATCCTATACTACTACCACCGAGCGTTTAAACGGCAGCAGCGGAGCGACGCGCAGCGTGGATGATCTTCGATCAGCGTGTGCGGGCTGTCTTCGTTGGTGTGTGCTTATGTGAGGGTCGGCACTCAGCTGAACACACGATGATAGATGAGCGGTGTAAATGCGGAGGCAGATGCTGACACTCGATGACGATGATCCGTGTGCAGGTATGCGTTACCACGCACCGATGGTGCGCAAAATGGTTGGCGAATTGGCAATCGTAAAAACAATTTTCCTTCCGATGATGCCGAAACCACACTTTCTTCTCAGAAAAAAACTCACTTTTAGTTAATTATTTAGCTGGGAACTCTAAGCGAGAAAAAACTGACAATTTAAATCAAGCGAATAGCGAGAAAACTTCCAAAATAGCGGAGCGCGAACTAAGTCGACCGTACTTCTTGCTAGGACGCAGTGGAATGTCAATGAATCCCACATAAATGTAAGCAAATCTTACATCCCCTGGTTGGGTGTAGACGCGTTATGTATTGGATTTGACAGCCACAGCATACGCGAGGTATGAAGACCTCCATACCAGAGGTGGAAACAGTACATTTTTTGCAAACCATCGTCCAGAGCAAAACAAAACAGCCAGCACACGGGCGGTCGTGTATTTCTACATTACAAGCAAACGGCGGAGATAGCGCATAGGAAAAATGTCGTATCACATTATTTTTCAATCAGTTTATTGAAATTACATTTTAGCTGCAAGCTTTACGTGTGACAGTAAATTGAGGGGGTTAGCAAAGTAAAATAACAACTTGATACCATCTTGAAAACAAGTTTTGTTATTCCAGATATCATTTTGTTTTCTGTTGTTATCACATATCTAATTTAGTTATCAACATCGACTAATTTTGTTATCAGTTGTTATCATGAAACAATATGATATTATGCAAGTTTACTTTAAAACTTCAAATGTTATCCACATGGTGAGAAAAAAACCACACTGCCAATCATGATTCAGTTATCTGCGAAAGGTTTTAAAACAAAATCATCAAAATAATTTGAAATTTGTTGAAACTATTTGCGCGGATCACAGGATTTGTTATCAAGATGTTTTCAATGGTAACTAAATCAGTTATTTTTTGATATCCACGGAGTATTTTTTTTTATAATTTGTGTTATGTTGGCTGCTTATTCAACCACAATGATAACATGTTCAGTTATCAAATCTTGATAATCGGGTATCAGAACTTGTTATCAATTTGGTATAATCCTTTGCTCGGGAGGGGTGCCCGAGCAAAGTAGAATAACAACCCGATATCATCTAGATAACAAGTCTTGTTATCCCAGATATCATTTTGTTTTCAGTTTTTATCGCATAACTTATTTAGTTATGAGCCTTGATCAATTTTGTTATCAGTTATTATCATGAAAAAATCACTACATATTTATTAACGATGCAAGGTTAGTTCATAACTTTAAATGTTATTCTCATTGAAACAATAAAAAATACTGCTTTTAATTCCTAATCATATTTCAGTTATCAGCGTAAGGTTTTGATATCAAAATGATAACATGATTTGAAATTAATGGAATGAATTTGTATGGCTTACAGAATATGTTATCAAGATATTATCAATGATAACAAAATTAGTTATTTTTGTGATATCCAACGAGCAATTTTTTGTTATCATTTTTGTTATGTTGGCTGTTAATTCAACCATAATGATAACATATTCAGTTATCAAAAAGTGATAACCGGGTAATAGAACTTGTTATCAATTTGATATTTTACTTTGCTCGGGGGTACGTGACTTTGATCGATTCTCTTCATCGACTTTCTCTTTCGTTAATAATTCAGCTGCAAACACATTCCTTGATTCGTGTGTCATTCTGGAAGTTAGATGAGAACCTCCTTTATCAAACTATGTGGCAGAAATAGTGCAAAATCTGTTTATAAAGCTGTGGCTATCAAAAAATAAAGTCGATGAAGAGTCACTTGCTCCCCTTTCTTTCTAACCCTTTCAATAAACAACACCCTTATTTACGCATCATTTCAACATCTATGCTTATGAGTGGTTAGTGTTCAATCTTATCTTATAATTCCATGCAATAAACATCAAATAAATGCTATAATTAGCCAGAAATCAGCAAAATTCTACATGACATAAATTTGTGATGAACGTGCCACTGGTCTTGTCTGCTTCATTGTGCGAAAATGTTCTGTCGCCTGCAGAAAACAGTTTAGAAATGTCATGACATTTGTTCCGCTTGCCAGTTTGTGTTTGTGTGTCTTCTCTATGGTCATTGCGCAAAACGTTAAATTTTAGCACTGGTGCCACAACTGCTCCATACACAACAATATAAACCTAACGCAACATACTAACGTACCGTAACAATAGTAACGTTTCCCCAAGTATACATTTAGGCGTTTTATTCCATTGATTTGTCGGTTAATCCTGCAGTATCACTTAAATTGAAAAAATGTTACATTTGAATGAGTTTATGTCATTTTAATGCCGCGGATTCACTTGAATGACAAGCTACAAACACGAGCGTTATTGGTATAATAAAATATGAGCTCATCCTAAAACTATACAAGTGTGATCATGGATGTGATCATAATTTATTATACAAATCAAAGTTACAAGTGTATCCACGGCATAGCTTCACGACCGTATTAATATGTCAAAGTACATTTCATCAATTATGTCATACAATGTTGCAGATTACCATTATAAACAGATGAAATAAGTTATTATGGCTGCCATAGACAAATTTCAGTTATGGAAGATTAAACTTGATTTGAAGATTCCATAATGATGAGTTTGTGAAATAGCGCTAAAACTGATTTTTTGGTCAAATTTCTTTCAACTTTGCATGCCTTTGATATAATTTAACACAAATTTTCACATTCTATTGCCAATCAGATAAAATTAACAAGATTTCTATCACACAAGCCGATGATTCTACGTACCTACCCCCAAGTCACACTTCCCCCAGTGTACCTTATATTTCGAAAATTCAAACCGAACGCCCTAAACCATAAATCAATTGAATGCAAATGACCGTTAATAAAATATTTGTAGTTCTAAAAAAGATACAAAGACTGATTTCTATCCCCTTCGAACAACATATTATGTTTTTAAGACAAATATTTTCTATTCTTTTCATCTATTCGCAGATCACAGAAGCACTTTCGTTCTTGCACTATTCAGGCCAAGTGATACACCGGAACGTATGTCCCTCATCGATTTTGATCACGAAAAAGGGTACGTGGAAACTGGCGGGTTTTGAATTCACCGAACGGGTAAACGAAACCGACGCCACCGATCCGGTACCATGCCAGTCTTGGTCCACACGAACATCCAAAATGGTGCAGCCCAATCTGGATTACATGGGTAAGGGAACGCAAAATTGAGTTGCTCAGTAAAAAAAAACCATCACAATCTAGCTGAATATATTTAATCTTGCTGCTTCCCGTTTTCCGGTTCTCCCATCCCCGGTCGTGCAAATAACGAAAAATTGCGACAGCACCTGAAAACCAGATCAACTCCAACTGCAGCATACTGAGCGATATGTTCTCGCTCGGAATGGTGATATGTGCCATATTCAACCACGGGAGACCGTTAATACAGTCCGGGAATTCACCACCTGCGTATCTCAAACAAATGGAAACAGTAAGTATGCTTTGTGCTTTGTATTATATGTAATAATTTCCATCGGGAATGGGAATCAGAATGTTCGCTGGAATCAAGCAGCAGAATGCTTAAATGTTATTCAGGAAGTGTACGTGAAGGTTTCTTAATCAATTTCAAATGTCATCTACTCATGCTCTTATAGCTAGGTACATAATACACATAAGAGTATGTCAAATTATCAATGCTTCTCTCTACAGGGCAATCAACATTAAATGTTTGGCATTTTTCTAGACCGTATTATTCAAATTGAAGCAGGGTACCCGGGTACCCCGTCAGCAACATAATAATAACGGTTAATGAAAACAAGGCACAAGCCGATTGTAATGAAAAATATTGTTTAGAATCGGAACAACATACATTTTAAGCAATTTTTATCCACCTGAATCCTCATTTAGCTTTCATTAAATTATCACGGTGTAAAATAAAATATTTATTCAGAATTTTGAGTGGCAAATATCGTATTAAATTGAAAACATTCATAGCTAGGTCGTTCACTACGCTTGTTTAAAAATCCTTAAACATTGTTAGCACTGTGGGTCAAAACATCTTCTTGGAAATATTCAATTTTAACATACATCAAAGGGTCTTAGCTAGGGGTAAGACAGCTTTAAATCATGAGCAATTTTTGAGCAAATTTTGAGTAACTCTGAGTTACTCGCGTTTCCCAATAATTAATATCGTTGTCAACATGTCGATATGTAGCAATTCAGTCAACAAGAGGAAAGTTTTGATCGAGTTATGTGTCAAATAAGTTTCACCATTGTAAGTTCAAAACAATTTTGTAATCTGTTTGATAGGGGAAATGGCTTTAATGTTGGCCTGCGGATCTAAGATTGGACCCATTGTTAAAAACCTGATATTTATCAATTTTATCTAGATGAAGGCGCCATTGGGACGAAACTAATGGATATTTTTGGTCGCTATTGAAAATTTGATCGATTGCTAAATTTATGTATGAGCCCAAACTAGGGGCATTTAGGCCGACATTACATCCATTTCCCCTACCTTGTTGCAATTTTCTTATATTCTAAAGAATCCGTTGCATTTCAGGCGTTTTGCATGACTTTTATTACTTTGGTTAGCCATGATTAAGGAACAAGTCGGTTCAACCATGAACATTTTCCAGACTTAAACCACTGCACTGGTCAGAGGTAGTGAAAAATCATTGTAAATTGAAAACATTTTCCGAATATTCTACATAACACGTAATGAACTTTATGAATTAAAGTTTAATAGGGCTTAGATCTAATTTTGGGCCTACTAAGCACAGCCCGCTCTTTGGTTCTAATTTTCGAGTGGATTTTTTTTTTTCACAAAATGTAATGTTTTCAGATATAGTATTGAGATATTGTTAAAAATCTAACACTGCTTCTTGACCCCACCTCGACGCATTTTAAATAAGACCTAATGCATTAAAACGCCATTCAAACGCGATTAAATTCACTTCGGTCTATCGTATGAAGATAACAATTGATTCGGTCGGAGCGCTTCTTTTGTTTTTGAGAAAAATTTGGTGCGAACATTCATTTCACACGTTCTCATTGAATTCGATCGGTAGCTTTTGAACTAAAGTATTGTACCAAACGCATAATTGACTTGATAACTCTGAAACAATGGATTTATTTCTGCTATTGCAAAGAAAAACAGGAAATAACTCTTGATGATTTGGGAATAAGAATACAGATTTTAATCAGGGTGAAACTTAACAACGGTACTAGTTAAAACACCATCCTTGTCGTTACAACCGAATGTTCAAATAATAGGATGATGAACTATTATTAAATAATAGGATAACGGACCATTACCTGACGATTCCTCTATATCCATATTAGTAGATGGTGTTCGTATGATCGATATTGGAATATAGGCAATACATTTTCAGCTTGCAGACAAGAAGACAAGCCGCTACTTTAAGCTGGTTGATTTCTTATCACACATGTTTTCCCAGAAAGCAAATGAAAATATCCAGTAGAATGCTACATAGTCGAATTTTAAATTGCACCAGCTTCTGGGAAAATTTGTTAAAACATTTAAAAAAAAATCTGGATTTTATGGTGCAATGTCAAAAACAGGTAGCGTGACCCAAATGTCAATAAATTGTTGTTTGCTACGGTTCGACTGGCAATTAATGTGTGTTGTGAATGGTTTTTCAGTCTCAACAAAATCCAAATACAGAATTTTTATTTTTTTTGTCCACTCTGGACCAAAACCGTTGGGGACCTTCTTCAGCGACTCTAATTTTTTTTTTTAATATTTTAGTTGTTTGAAAATGTGTTTTAATAAATTGGTTATTTTCACCAATAATTACAGCTTTCACGTCTAGTGTGGTTCTGTGGAACGTGAAAATGTCCCGAGGTCAGAGTTTCTGTTTTCAACATTTTTATATGTGTAGCATTTGGTATTCACCCACGCTGAATTTTATCGTGCATTTACTCCCACTCAAACGGCTCGGATTAATAATTCCGTCAAAAACCCTGTCCAATTTTCACGCACTGTAATTCAGTACACAGTAGTAGAATGTTCAGCATTGCTTTTCTCCCTCAATCCGTATTATTGGTTAAAATAACATTATTATTAAAAGATATTTTCAAACAACTGAAATGTTAATAAACAATTTTAGAGTCCCAGAAGAAGGTTCCAAACGGACCAAAACGGCATGCGTTGTAAAATTATAGTGACCTAACATATCTTCCACACGAAAGTTAGCTATCACCTAAACCAAGACGGAAACTTCGTAGATGCTTAAAATCTCAAGCTAGCATATACAGAAAATCGATATGCAATTAACACCGCGTAGTGAGAAAATTCAGAACTGCCTCCTACCAAAAGGCCTTGATCCACTGTACAACTTTTCCGAAGATAGAAACCGAAGTCAGGATATTCAATTTGACCGTCTTACCCTTACCCCGCATGATGTTTTGGTTGCATTATTTAGACTATGTTTGTTTCATGATAAAACATAATCAAATGAAAAGTAAATTCTCTGACAATCAATATAATTATGGAAAGTACGCTAGGGATCACAATTGACTAAATTTATTGCTGCAAGTTTTATATAGATCTGGTTGATTAGTATTTCATGATTAATTGGCCGTTTTATCCTATTCTTCCCTACTTATAGATTTTAAAAATGCATCTAAAATCCTTCAACTTTTGTGCGACTATTAAACCTTCATAAGTCTCTACCATTTATTGTACAGGTTTAAATTTGAGGATAAAAAAACATTTTTAACCAATAAGTACAGAACTGTAGAGTAACATGAGGCAAGAGTACGCACTTAGTGTTAAGGATCATGTATCTTTTTTACGATATAACCTAATTTTAATTTATAACTGTGCGTCGATTCCTTATCTATTTGGCCCTTCTTTATGGATAGCTATTTGAAAAATCATTACGTTTTTCACAAAGGGTTCCGGCTGCGTACTTTTGCCCCACTGGAACGCATTTAATTAAACGCTTCATGTCAATGTCTGTTTTAATTGAATGAATGCTTTCTCAATCAATAACTAATCAAAATTGGGCCATAATGCGTCATATTTACGCACCTATTCTTTGTATTCACTAATCTATTTTCTTTGTCCAAGTGTTAAAAGTTCGTAGTTTTTAGCGGTGGAAATAAGCAAAAAATCTTACAAATCTGATGTAATATTGTTGCACTAAAACATACTAATTCAAGATTGAAAATTGTTAAAATCAATATTTTTAAAAATCGAAACGATTTAAGCACCATTCTAAGCCATTCGTACCCTTGCCTCACTCGAATCCAATAATGGAAAGGTCTCTCATAAATTAGGTCTTTCCTATATTATCTGCTGATAAATAACCAAAAACTATCATATAGACCAATCATAGTACTGGATACTCAGGTTATAATAATCATCATCATCATAATACCACTTTCGAAAAATTGTAATTTTATATCAAAATTCAAAAAGCGTAAAATTTTCAAACTTCTATTGACTACTTTTCCGTGCATTATTCTAAATAAACAATATTTTTCTTGTAAGCTAGTATTCAGTAGAGGTTTCAATTCTAATCAAAATCATTGGTCCATCATTTCACCTGGCTTTCGGACCAGTAGTGTGTGTTGTTGCCGCCTACATACTCTTGCCCTACTTTACTCTATCTGCCGAATTATTCGAATGGTAATTATTGTGTCGAAAAAACAGCCCTCCTGAAACACAGCATTGAAAACGACCACCAGCTCGATCTAGGAAAGGTAAAAACTATTAATGAATTTACGTGACGGTCGACCAGCAGATGGAAATGATGTGAAACATAATAATGACGTGTTGCTACCTGTCAAGTCGTATGGAATATTTTTAGTACATCATCAGTTTTGTAATTGCAAATCTGAAAACTAGGTGTCGCATGGCCAGTTTTACCTTTGCTTAAATTCATCAATAGACAAACATGAAAAACAATCGGCGAATCAAAGCAAAGCCAAAACTGGTCATGCGACAACTAGTTTTAAGATCCGCAAATACAAAAATGATGTTGGAATAAAAAATGTCATCCAATTTGACTGATATCTATACGTCATTACCATTTTCACCCACTCGCCATATGTGAGTCAATCGTCTACTGGAGATGTGTCATATTGCAAACAGTCAAGATTGTATCAACAAACGAACATACACAGATGGCTTTAATGAAGTGTATGCTGGAATTCTTCATGCCATGAAAAACAACGCAAATATTAATACGAATAAAAGTAGGAAATTTACAATCAGTGATGGAAAAGTTCGTGAAAACTCAATATGACTCGCGAACTTACATGTAAACACAATCCACACAACTTGAAAGTAAAAAGCAACACAATACCACTCATTCCACTCGACCACAAACTTTATCAAGAAAAAGCACACTTTAGGTAGAAACTTAGCGAAAATCTATTCAAACGGGAGAACGCAGATTTGTGGGAAATCGCTAAGTGACAGTCGTAGATGGACGCCATTAGAAATAAGACGAATTTATGTAAAACTACATATACAGACAACAAGAAAACGCAGCATCTGTAAGGAACACAAACGATAAATCCTTCAAAAATCTTTTTAAATCAAACATAATACTATTTTAGAAATTCCTTGAAAAAGTTGCAATAAAATCACCGAAACGTCGGAAAGTTGATGCAATGAAGCGTTTTTGCTGAAATAGCTGAATACACTCAGATCATAAGAATTGCTCCAGTCGCAAGCTCTCAAGGTTCCGTTATACTGAAGTCACCAAGCAGTAAATTCGATTTCCAGGAATCTAGCCAAGGGTCTCATTTCGCAAGTCAAAACAAAAGGCTTATCATTCGATCTGGGAAAATGATATAAAATTACCCATACTCATGCCATATACAACTATATTGCCTAAAAATGATTGCTATCTATTGCTTCGTTGAGACGGTTATAAGCACAAAGAACAGTTAAACTTTAATCTTTTTTATTGATTAACAAAGTGACACAGTCACAATCAGTAACTTAGTCATTCAGATTCAGCTTTTACATGGTTTCAAAGAGAATAGGTATGCTTCTACTATTTTGCAAAAACATTTCTCCTACCAACGAGGATTGACATGATACAAACTTTCTTCATTATGCTCAATAATTGCTTAACTTTGCCGAACACGTGCAAGGTGTATTTATCTTTCGCATCTAGATTGCCACCATGTCAGTTTGATAAAATTTTACTTCGGCTCATAAATATCCTAATCACCGCCATACGCAATTTAGTTTGATCTGAAAAAGTTTTACAAATCAAACAATTCCGGGAAGGACCGGTGTAACCGCTGATTGTGATCCAAAGTGCTGATGGAAATATCACTTCAAGAGATTTACGGTGATGTGCTCATTTCAAACGGTTGGTAGTCGTTATGTACAGTCAACCTGTGTATATATTTTTAGCAATTTGTTTTCCATCGTCGGAGGCAATCAGAGTTTCAATTACCATCTATTAGCATCCTATGTATTTTTGCTGAGACATCCCAGCAATAACATAGATTCTGCCTTCAGCTTAGTGGTCTTAGTGCACTTTCATTGTTAATTGAGAGCTTTCTTCTAAGACTGCACCATTTCTGCATTCGGATAATGTGTAGCATGCACATTGATATTCTATGCCCAAGGAAGGCAACATATTTTCCAACTCTAAAAATGTCCGAACCTGCCAGAAAGGTAAATTTCTCGCCTCTAGCATATAGTTATTTTTTAACTAAAGAATATTCTCAAAAAAAAAATGGAGAAGAACAAAAACAACTGTAGCTTTTTAATCTTAATACTAAATGCTTTAAATTTTTCAAGGAGGATTCTACAGTTCGTTTACATTAAACGTGTATTTTATATGAAAGTCTGAGAAATGTTTAACCCAATTTCGATATAAAGAGCAACATGATCTTAAAAAAAGTGCGGTCTTGAATTTGTAAATAGCATTTATGAAAGGGAAATCGTTTGTCACTGTTGGTATTGGCTCACGAGATCTGCCGAATTGTTATGGCAAATATTTTATTACATGGTCAGAAATTACTCTGCCGAATTTAGGTTCAATTTGATGTAAGAGATCTAAACCCTTCATAACATGAGAAAAATTAACCCTTTATTGCTTTAACGAAATCACGAATTTCCATCACACCATGAAGATGTGAACAAGTTTATCAAGAAATGAAAAAAAGAAACAATGCAATTTTTCTCATTTGTTCACAAAATTAGAGGCAATAATTTGTCTGTTTTGACATTCTTATTAAAACTAGTCGTTGAATAATGACATAGTTTTTACTTCTCTAGAATCTCAAAATTTCAAGTTATTTGGTGCCGTGGTAAAAAACATGCAGCTGTTTTGATGTACATTTTTTCCGTGGTTAGTCCTTATCAATAACTCTTTGCTACATAGGAACCCAACTCCATCATGATCCAACATCTTAGCTTGCAATGTCAATGCTCCATGTTCAAGTAACCATTCCAAAAGGTGTAAAAGAAAAGTTGTCTTCTAGACAGAACAATATATGTACAAAAGGGTACACCTGTCTGGGTCACTTATTTAAATATACAATCTATGCTTAACACAGTTAACATTTCGACTAATTGACACCCAACATGGAACCATACATAAATTATATATAAAATTTTACAGATAGGGTAAATAGGGGTGATGTGATGCCAAAAAATTGCTTGTATATGTTACACTTTAAACGTACGATGTGAATGGAAATATATAATAATATATATAATAAAAGTAATATGAAATTTATTAAAGAGAAAAACAATTTTGTCAGAAAGCCATCAAACAGCCACTAGCAAAGTAATTTCATCAAACAGCCAACAGCACTGAAGACGATTTGCAAGTTGTTAGGTACACACTTAGAAATACCTAATCTTACACGTGACGGAATCCATCTTTGTCATAAAGGATGAGACGTAAACAAACATTTCATGTAAAATTAAGTGCTCCGAGACTGAAACGTTCGAAAGTACGTTTGATTGAGTTGAAATTTGCGTCTATTATAACTCAATTTTATGTTAAAATTGATGCTCGATAGCTGTTTATTTATTTTCAACAATACTATCTGTTACTCAATGCGCCCCGCGAATTGTTGTCGGGAAAACAAAACTATCAAGCGTGAACCTTTGAAATTCAATAGAGGAAGAGCATAGATAAAGCCTAAATGTATGCTTCCTTGGCATGGAATCAGTATGGGCATTTTGACCCGCAGTATTTCGAAAATAGGTTTTTGTTGACCTTTTTAATTTTACCAATTTAAACAAGAATTTAGCTATTTTCGTTGAGCATATTATTTGTAATATCTTTCCAATAGTCTAATACAGCATTAAGGTGGCATTACACTTTAATATCGATTCACTTTATGGATTAAACGGAGATCTGCCTTAGCATGGGCATTTTACGCCCTTCTCCCCTACTCTCCTGCAGTAGATTTGATTAGGTGGGCATTGGAAACATTTTGCTTATTTCCCAATGGAATTCCGTTCTACGGTTCCACAGTATCCCCTCTCTAGTACAACACAGCTTTATGTGTTGTACATGTGGAAAGTAGATCCAAATGGCATAGTTAAATGAATATAACGTATAATGAACTTTTTGTGACCTGTTGCCATCGCTTCTGCCAACTGGCAAGCTGCTGTACGTAGGTTCATATCGTCCCCTTGATGCTACCATACAACTAGGTACCTTTCATATAAGGATACCTAGCTGTAGCATTGATGGCACGATATGTAGGTTGTCTGGCTGCGTTCATGTGTAGGGTTGACTTGTATAAAGATTATATTCATTAGTGAGAGCTGCTTTTTTCGTTGCTAACAACGCACACTTGTAGGCTCCCGATGTGACTACACAGCGTGATGCTGTTGGATTTAATGCCAACAGCGTGTCAGGTGACATTTTCTTTCAAAGTGTCGCAAGTAATTAATGTCTATTTCAGTAAGAACTAGGCCATTGGTATAAGCAGTTTAAAATGTATTTAGAATGAACATCATTAACATAACTGTTTTTACAAAAATAGATCAATGTTACCATAAAATGCATGTTATTCAACATGGTATATTTGGTGTGACACTTGAATTTTTCATAAGCATTTTTTTTTTTTTTTTAATTCTTTATTAAAAAAAAATGTTTATCGGAGTATTATTAAATTTGAAGAATTAGTTCTACACTCAATTCTTCTTTTTTCGCCTCTAGCTTTGATCATGTGATCTCAATTTGCATACAAAGTTAATGCAACTTGAGTCGAAAATCACAAAAAATCTGTAAAAAAAAAAATCAGATGGCATTAAAAATGTTGTCCCTATCCTGCATGAAGGAAAACCGAAAAATTCAAAATCTCGTAAAAAAAATTGCATGTACTCATATTTCCACAAAAAATACATAATTGAATTATAATTTCTATCAACAGCTAGATGAGGCAGTGCACAATTTTCTACCCCGGATACCAATTCCTCTGCAAGAGGCTACAACTCGTTTACTAAAAAAGTCTCCTGGTGCTAGGCCTACAGCTCAACTACTGACACTCATAAAGTATTTCAGGTAAGCTTAAGTACAATTCTACCCACACGTTATGCATATTTATTCAACACCGTCTACCATGGATACTAAATCGTATTATTTAATTTCTCCGAACGCCAACTTTCCTATTGCACCAGTGACCCTGCCGTTCAAGCATTGCAATTTCTGGACGTCATCAACATGAAGGATCCCACGCAGAAAACCCACTTCTATCGCAGTACGCTGCGGGAGGTGCTGCCCTTCATACCACGGGTAAGTTGAAAGCGATACTCCAGACTGAGAGGTTTGTTTTCATTCGACATGGATTGAGATATTCTATAGCACATACTGTAGGGTAAAATGGTATAATATGCCAGGGATAAAAAGGCCCCACGCAGTTTTACAGCGCTTAACAGTTCGAGATTCGTGAATTTGACGAGCAGCATGTCAACTACCATTTCTGCATATAAAATCCTACAATAAAGAACGAAAAATGGATGAAAAACTACGCGGGCGCATTTAACCTCAGGGGGCATATTATACCATTTTACCCTATATGATTTTCCGTTCCGGGAAACACCAAATAAGGGAGAATGAATGGACCTTTTGTGAAAACTGGTTATAAAGAGGCAGCATTGAAAATACGTCGGTCAATAAATACAATAAATTAACAATAGTAAGCCCGTGTTTACCAATCAAGTTGAAATCTAGTTTTACCGCAATAACAAGACCTATATGAGTTGGTGGAGGTCTTATCGATTATATCCAATACATTCCCGAAAATTAATACTCAATTTTTGAGATGACGTATTTGATGTTTTTCAATAAACCATAGTTATAGGAAATAGATGTTTTTTTTTTTTCAGGAAAAAAAATCCTGAATTTATTCATGGTGAGATCTGAACCATCTTACTTAATGAAAGTTTGAGCAACTTCCCAAGGGATTTTTGAAACATTTCCAGGTGTTGGCTAATGTGGTCTTGTGTTCATAATGTTACAAGCAATGCTTGACAACCTTGTTTTAGAGTTCTCATGTAGCTTTATATGTAACACCATGGGTTCTTATTCTAGTTTGATACTGGACGCGCTATTGGGAGGGATGTGTCCAATATAGGCTGAGACCAAATATTACAAATTAAAATCTCTTTATGGCAGCTATCCACACAAAATGATCCATTAGAGATAACTTCGTCAAGATACAGTCACTTCCTCATTCATATCGATCACATAGATATCGAGACAGCAAACTTTTAACTACTTTAAAAATGAACACCATGGTGAAATAAACATATCTTTTCCTTCACCAACTTTAAAGCATCCAGCATCAAAGTTGAGGAAGTGAATCTATTACATCTCAAAATCAAACGCATTATTGTATTCTGCAAGTGCTGTAATAAAGATTTTTGTGATGCATTGGCCAACAATAAAATGGAAGTTCAAAATTCCAGATGAGGAAAGATGATTGATTTGTATAGCTGTATTTTACTGGTAACAGTCGACATAGAATTCCATACTTCATGGATTTCTTGATGACATTGTCAATGTGATAGTTGAACTTAAGTTTGTCATCAATAATCATGCCAAGATATTAAATCTCCCGAACGCGATCAATAGCCTCATCATCAATTACAATTACAGAAACGTTCACATTTACTCGATTCCGCGAAATTACCCATGAATTTAGTTTTACTTATATGCAATTTCAATTGCTTATACTTCAACCATCTACTTACATCTCACTGCGTCCTAGCAAGAAGTACGGTCGACTTGTTTCGCGCTCCGTTGTTTTGGAAGTTTTCTCGGTATTCGCTTGATATAAATTATCAGTTTTTTTCTCACTAAGTGACTCCTGGCATAGTTCCCGGTTAATTGATCGAAAAGTGAGTTTTTTTTAGTAGAAAGTGTCATTTTCGGAAAGAGTAATCCGTGCTATTGGAAATTCGCGAACCAATTTGGGCATCATCGTTGCGTGGTCACGCATACGCGCTTACGCATACCCGCGCACGTATCATCATCATCGAGTGTGAGCACCCGTTCCTACATCTACATCGTTCATCAATCATCGTGCGCCTGTGTGCGCTGAGTACCGAGCCTCGATCAAGTGCACCACAACGAAGGTCATCCACGCAGCGCGTCTCTTCCAGCCATCTGCGTAAACGCCTACACATATAACGCTCGGTGGTAGTAGTATAGAATTATCAGATAAGTTTTTATTTTTTTTTTTGTTTCTTTTCCTCCTCCATTAGTTAAATTTTCATTTTGTATTTCTGTGTTTGTAGTGTTTTCTGTGTATTGCGTCTGTGCGTTCAGTGGGAGAGCGTTTTGCGCTCCCACTAGTTGAACAAAATGGATGTTTTGTCAGAAGACGACATGGATGACCATTCATCTCAGAAAAATGATGATGTCATCCATGGTTCGTCGTCTCAGTCTGACAATGGGCAGGCTGAGAAAAGCTCCAGATTGCGGGCCTACCCGAATGACTCGACTGGCCCATGGGTTGTCTATTTTCAGCCCAAAAACAAACCCTTGAATGTTGTTCAGATATCTGATGATCTGACAAAGCGATTCTCTGCCGTGACCGAAATAACGAAGGTTAGGCACAACAAACTTCGTGTGACCGTCGCTAACCTGAAACAGGCCAATGAAATTGCTGTTTCCCAGTTTTTCACACTGGAATATAGGGTGTACATTCCAGCCTCTGATGTGGAGATCGAAGGCGTGGTCACTGAGGCGAGCCTGAACCCCGAGATACTGGAGAAGCAAGCGGTTGGCCGATTCAAGAACCCCTTGCTTCCTCCGGTAAAGATACTGGCCGTTCATAGAATGAAGTCAGTATCGCTCAGCGAGGGTAAAAAGAGTTTTACCCCCACAGACTCGTTTCGGGTGACCTTTTCTGGATCTGCCCTTCCTCAATACATCGAGCTGGGAAAACTTCGTCTTCCTGTGCGGTTGTTTGTACCTCGGGTCATGAACTGCCAGAATTGTAAGCGGTTGGGACATACGGCCTCCCACTGCGGCAACAAGGCACGCTGCTCCACAAGCGGGGAGAAGCATGAGGATGGCGCCTGCGCAGCTACTGCACCAAAATGCGTGTACTGCAATGGAACTCCTCCTCATGCTCTCTCGTCGTGCCCGGCGTACAAACAGCTCGGGGACAAAATGAAACGCTTCCTTAAGGAACGTTCCAGGCGGTCTTTTGCAGAAATGCTTAAGACAGCCAAGCCATCGACCAACGAGACAAATCCCTTCGCTCTTTTGTCAGATGACGAGTCTGGCTCTGACTTGGCTGAGGAGGGAGTTTCTTTCAGTTTTCCGGAAGGTTCTGCCCGGAAACGAAAACGCATCCGTTCGCGGAAAGTTGCAGATCAAGAACTCCAAATCAGCTTGCCCAAATCAAGGAGTGGTGGAAAAAAGGAGACTTCTACTCCTCCTGGATTCCGCAGAACTGATTATACCCAGGATTTTCCACCTCTTCCGGGGACATCCAAAACCCCTGATGCCCCAATTTTAAGAACAGAAACCCCTTCTTCATCTGGGCTGTTCTCATTTGATGACATTGTGGACGGCATTCTCAAATACCTCAACATTTCTGATCCTCTGAAAAGCATTGTCCTCACATTGCTTCCGACTGTGAAATCCTTCTTGAAGCAATTGACTTCAAAATGGCCCCTTCTTGCAGCTATCATCTCCTTCGATGGATAATTTTCCAAACGAGGTCGGGGATTTGATCACTGTTCTACAGTGGAATTGTCGAAGTCTTATTCCGAAATTAGATTCGTTCAAGTATTTAGTCCATAACAATAATTGCGATGCATTTGCCCTCTGTGAAACATGGCTTTCTTCAGAAATTGATCTCCCTTTTTTTGATTTTAACATTATTCGATTGGATCGTGAGGATTCACGTGGAGGAGGGGTACTTTTGGGGATCAAAAAGTGCCATTCCTTCTATAGAGTGAATCTTCCCGAATTCCCCGGTATTGAAGTTGTCGCATGTCAGGCTACCATTAAAGGTAAGAGCCTTTGTATTGCTTCTGTATATATTGCTCCTAGAGTCTCTGTTAATCGCAAACAACTTTTCGACATATGTGCGGTACTTCCCGCTCCATGGTTGATCATGGGAGATTTTAACTCCCACGGTACAGGCTGGGGGGAGCTGTACGATGATAACCGTTCTACTTTGATTTATGATCTCTGCGACAACTTCAACATGACAATACTTAACAATGGAGAAGTAACACGTTTGGCTGGTCCATCCTCGAATGGTAGCAGATTAGACCTCACCTTTTGCTCCAATTCACTATCGTTGGATTGCACTTGGCATGTAATCCAGGATCCGCACGGTAGTGATCATCTGCCGATCAAAATTTCGATTGCCAGTGGGTTCAACTCGTCAGAATCCGTTAACGTCGCGTATGATCTAACCCGTAACATCGATTGGACTAAGTTCCAATCCGCGATAGACGATACAGTATCGTCAGTGGAAGAGCTTCCGCCGTTGGAGGAATATAATTTCCTCTCTAATCTCATCGTCGACAGCGCCCTTCAAGCTCAAACACGACCGGTGCCGCGATCGTCAATCCGTAAGAAAACACCATCGCTCTGGTGGGATCAACAATGCACGGAGGTTTACCGTAAAAAGTCCGACGCGTTTAAACTTTTTCGGAAACGCGGAACACGCGAGCATTTCGACGCATACACATCTCTTGAACGCGAACTCAAGAGCCTCATCAAGGCCAAAAAACGGGGTTACTGGCGGCAGTTTGTAGACGGATTGTCGCGCGAAACGTCTATGAATACGCTTTGGAGTACGGCGCGAAGAATGCGTAACCGGTCTACTAACAACGAAAGCGAGGAATGCTCGGATCAATGGATTCTTAAATTCGCGCGAAAAGTGTGTCCGGATTCCGTGCCGTCGCAGTTGACTCCTCGCGAAACCGCGAATTCGGTAGACGAAATCAGTCAGCCTTTTTCAATGGTGGAACTTTCACTCGCTCTCCTTTCGTGTGGCAATTCTGCCCCGGGATCTGATAGAATCAAGTTCAACTTGCTGAAAAACCTCCCAGACGTCGCTAAGAGGCGCATGTTGAACTTGTACAATCAGTTCTTGGAGCTCAATATTGTTCCCGACGATTGGAGACGAGTAAGGGTGATAGCCATTAAAAAGCCTGATAAACCCGCGTCGGATCACAATTCGTATCGGCCCATCGCGATGCTGTCGTGTATTCGGAAATTGATGGAGAAAATGATCCTTTTTCGCCTCGACAAATGGGTTGAGACGAACCACCTTCTTTCAGATACTCAATTTGGTTTCCGTAGGGGTAAGGGAACGAACGACTGTCTCGCGTTGCTTTCCTCGGAAATTCAGTTGGCTTTTGCTAAGAAAGAGCAAATGGCATCTGTGTTCTTGGATATCAAGGGGGCTTTTGATTCAGTATCCGTTGAAGTTCTTTCAGAGAAACTCCACGCTTGTGGATTGTCTCCATTAATGAATAATTTTTTGTACAATTTGCTGTCAGAAAAACATATGAGCTTTTCTCATGGAAACTCTACAGCTTTTCGATTTAGCTACATGGGTCTCCCCCAAGGCTCATGTTTAAGCCCCCTTTTGTACAATTTCTACGTTAGAGAAATTGATGTCTGTATTAGTGACAATTGCACGTTGAGACAACTTGCAGATGACGGCGTAGTGTCTATCACAGGGCCAAAAGAGGTTGACCTGCAAGGACCCTTACAGGATACCTTGGACAATTTGTCTACTTGGGCTATTCAGCTAGGTATCGAATTCTCCACGGAGAAAACTGAGTTGGTCGTTTTTTCTAGGAAGCATAGCCCAGCACAACCGAAGCTTCAACTTTTGGGTAAACCGATCACTCATTCCATGTCCTTTAAATATCTTGGGGTCTGGTTCGATTCCAAATGCACCTGGAGATCCCACATTGAGTATCTGAGACGAAAATGCCAACTAAGGATCAATTTCCTTCGATCAATTACCGGAACGTGGTGGGGAGCCCATCCACAAGATCTTCTGACGTTGTACCGGACAACGATTTTATCGGTTTTAGAGTACGGTAGTTTTTGCTTCCAGTCGGCAGCTAAAACGCACATCATCAAGCTGGAACGGATCCAGTATCGTTGTCTTCGTATCGCGTTAGGATGCATGCACTCGACTCATACTATGAGTCTCGAAGTGCTGGCGGGCATGTTGCCTCTATCCGTCCGTTTTTCAGAGTTATCTCTGAGGCTCCTCACCCGTTGCGAAGTAATGAACCCACTGGTGATCGAAAATTTTGAGAAGCTTCTGGAGCTAAATCCTCAAACATGTTTTATGACTTTGTACTACCTATATTTAACACAGGATGTCAGCCCTTCAAGAAATATTCCCAATCGTGTAATATTCTCCGATTTCGGCAATTCAGTGAATTTTGATTTATCTATGACGCAGGAAATCCGCGGAATTCCAGAGCATCATCGTTCTATGATTGCTCCGTCATTATACGCTGCAAAGTTTGGCCATGTTGATTCTGCAAGAACGTTTTTCACAGATGGATCTCTAATAGAGGAGTCCGCTGGTTTTGGTGTATTTAATGAATTTCATAGCGCCTCTCGAAAACTTGAAGCTCCTTGTTCTGTGTATGTGGCTGAACTGGCAGCAATTCACTACACTTTGGAAACTATTGCTTCACTTCTTCCAGACCACTACTTTATTTTTACGGATAGTCTCAGTTCTGTCGAGGCTATCCGTTCCATTAGGCCGGTAAAGCACTTCTCGTATTTTCTCTTGAAAATACGAGAACTGCTTAGTACTTTATCCGTGCGCTCTTTCATCATCACCTTCGCGTAGGTCCCTTCGCATTGCTCAATTTTGGGCAATGAGAAGGCGGATTCACTTGCGAAGGTGGGCGCTATGGAAGGCGACATTTATGATCGACAAATCGCCTATAGTGAATTTTTCTCTATTTATCGTCAGCAGTCGCTCGTTAGCTGGCAACATCAATGGAGTGAAGGGAGCTTGGGACGATGGCTACATTCAATTATCCCTAAGGTGTCGAAGTTTGCATGGTTCAAAGGGTTGGACTTGAGTCGAGACTTCATTCTCGTGATGTCTCGTCTCATGTCCAATCACTATTGTCTAAACGCTCACTTGTTCCGTGTGGGGTTGGGAGACAGCAATCTCTGTGAATGTGGACAAGGTTACCAGGACGCTGATCACATCCTTTGGTCTTGTGCGGAGTATCGTGGAGTCAGATCACATTTTTATGATTCCCTTCGGGCTCGAGGTAGACAACCTAATGTTCCAGTTCGGGATATTTTGGCTAGACGCGATCTGGAGTTTATGAAACTCATATACGTTTACTTTAAGGATATTAACCTTAGATTGTAAGTTTGATTAACCTTGTGTTTAGTTTGTATTTTGTACGTATGGGTTTTTTTTCAATGTTTGTTTTCAAGGTGAATAGAAATAATTTCATGCTTTAGGATTAATTAAATAGTTGTATCGTAAACCACATTTCAAACCTCCTTCTTCCCTTTTCCCATCCAAAAAATTGTAAATCTCCACTAACCTCGAGACAACCGCGAGTACTTGGTCCAGTTCCTTTAACTTTAAATTTAAGACAGTAATAATGTATAACGCAAAGAATAACTCGGCTCTGTAAAGTTTATTCGATTGAGCCTGTACAAATAAAGTAATTATAAAAAAAAAAAAAAACCATCTACTTAGAGAATGTAAATCTTGGAGGGCGACCCCGGCGTAGTGGTTAGAATCCATACCTCTCAGTCCAAAGTCACGAGTTCAAATCTCACCCCCAGACAAATCACGAATGACCCAAGAGCGTTAAAGTGATTATAATTTTAAAAAAAATTGAAATCTTCATTCAAGTGTAAACCGGCATCATTAGCTGCAAAGAATAACACAGTATTATCTGCAAACATCTTTCCGTGCACTGAAGCGAGCTCGTCACGTCGACTGCCTCGTAGGCCCAATCGTTTGTTGAGATGCTGCGATGATAGAAGAGAAGAGACGTACTCTCTGAATGTGGTGATGAAAAGTGAGGTGGCTTCGGTTGATTTGCCGTAATTGTCAGGATCTTCTTCTACCTTGGTGGTCTCAAACAGGATTGTTATTCTATATCAATAGCATTCAATTTTAACAATTTCGAGTTGTAGACAGTTCAAGAAATATCGCTTGGAAAACCGACTTTTGAGTAAAGGCCCGAAGGGCCGAGTGTCATATACCATTCGATTAAGCTCGACAAAATCGGAAAATGTCTATATGTGAGGGGTAAGAACCCCATTAATGAACTATGTGTTAAAAGTTTCGCAAAATCTGTGTGCATAGCAGCAGTTATCAAAAGAGCAAGTCAATAAAGAGAATCGATCAATTTAGATAGGATATTTTGAAATATTTATCTAGAATCAAACACGATTTCTATCTATCTATTTGATTTCTTGAGTAAAAAGCACGTTTTCATTGATCAATTTCCTTAAATTAGAAGATATTCAGGCTGGTAGGCTGGTTCATCTATGAGATAGCACACTTTCATTTATTTCTCCTATGCACATGTTTTTCTATTTGCGGCTCATATTGTAACAACGCATGGGGGTTTCTAAACACAAATGGTACGATTCCTGAAATTTGGAGTAGCCATGCTTTTTTAACTGTCCTTAAATTAAGTTCCGTGAGTCCAATCTACACTAAGTATTAAACAATTGAAAAATTAAAATCTTCCAGTTCTTTCATCCATTCTTCCAAATTTGAACCATTTTGGCTACAAACTACCGCTTTTTAATACATTTAGAAGTGTAGAGTTCAATTTTTGGCACGTGCAATTATGGCAGCTAAAAGTTCTTTCCTTTTTGGAAACATAATGTTAGGAGAACCATTCATGGAGCTAATTATATAATGCATCAGTTTTCATGGAGTAATGATATGGGGTAGTGCCCAAGAAGGTGGTCACTTCACACAGCTCAGCTTTAAATCATTCTTCAAATATCTTATTCCGTGGTGGCCTCTTTGAAGGTAAACATAACCTCTTCAATCATTTTCCAAACTTTTCTGTTATGCTTTGCCCTCAGTGTTCTCCACGAAATAAATTCCGGATTCCGTCAGTCCATCACAATCAAAAAAGGATGCCTGTTTGTACCGCCTAAGGAATGTTGTGTTGCTTTCTAGCAAGCCACCGACGCGTAAAAACATTCTCTTTTGAATGGTATCGTCCTTTACAAAGTCTTCGTCAAACTTACTCACACAAATCCTAAAAGGGAGAAAACTTTACCACAACAAATAGCTTCCAAACAGCTGCCATCCCCGAGCAATCTTCCCAAGCCTCATTGCTGTGGGTAAATAGAAGAATTTCATCAATTCATAAATTATCCAATCTTCCGTATTTTACCGCATCGATTCCGTGTCACAAGATTGAATATATACTCATTACTTTCTCTGTCTCCCCCGACTCCTGACAGAAACTGTGGTGGCAACATATCTGGCCTAATTTACAACAGGAAATGCGGGCTGATGAGGTACTGGCTGCAGTTCTGCAACCCGCGTTAACCCTGGTCAAGGAATCGTCAAACAGTGAATACGAAGCAATCATTTTACCAACCTTTAAGTAAGTTCCAACCATCCCCAACCAGCAGAGTGGAGATGATCGTAACCATAACTTATCCGCTTTCCCTTTTCGCCCACAGGACTGTTTTTGTAGCCCCTAAATCTATACAGGCAACCGTAGCATTACTAGAGAATCTACACATAATCCTAGAGAAAACACCACGGGACGACATCAGGACGGAAGTGCTTCCGCTGTTGTTCAATGCGCTCGAGAGTACAACGATACAGGTGCAGGTAAGTAATTTCCGCTCCATATGTACCAGACGGGGTAGAAGAAGGTGATAGGTGCTGCACTCAACACACAAGTGGTACTCAAAATGGCATCTGATGGAGAAAGACAGGGTAGAAACCGAGTTCCATTAGATGTGCTTGGTTGAAGATATAATTACTGCCATTCTAGGATTGAACTGAAATCATGCTGCACAAGAGCTAGTAGCAGCACAATGAACTCATTCGCGTTTGGATTATAATGTACATGATTGGTACTAGAATGAACTGGCTATTTATACTTGTCTTGATATAATTAGCTAGACTGTATGTACAGTGTATCACTGTATCAATTATCCAAGCACCTTGTTCAGTCACCTCATATTGAGTTTTCTTTGCTTTGTACATGTAATTTTTTTTGTATAAACAAACAAATAAATTGATATACAATACACAACGGGCCATTAAACGATATATTTTGAGTTTTCAGCAAAATTTCTCACTAAAATATGGGCCACTTATTGACATAACGGGTGTTCAATAAAAATGATATTTTTTTCACTCATATAACTGGTAAAAAATTTTTTTTTAACGAATTCGATATTTTTTATTAAAACATAATGTTTAATATTCAAAAAATGTCAATGAATATTGGAGAAGGGGCCCTGGTCAGCCGTACGACGGAACTTAGTCACGATGCTCTCACAAGAGCGCTGGACGGTATTGAAATCATTCTCATTTTTTATTGAACACTCGTTAAATAGATAGTAGAAAACTCATCCACATAGATGGTGCTAAAATCTTACTTTTTACTTTAACATTTTGGAAACTTGATTGGCATCTTCCGTTTAGTTGTTTATATCATCAAAATAAACTACTTCAGAAAAAGACGTTAAAACTCTAGAGCCTTCTGTTAACAAGTTTTGAAAACAGAAAATAATGGATGAAAACATTTTTTTTTTTTTTTTCAATATTATTTATTTTAATTTACAATTTTTCATGTTCTTTTAACTGTTTTAAATGTATAAAAGAAAAAACTTAAAAAAAATAATTAAACTACTTTAAAGCACGCATTTTGAATAAAATGCAGGAAAACTTGTGAAAAAATTGAATATTTCTCAATGGACTCAAATTCAGGGAAAAGTTAATAATACTTAATGAACAAAAGTCATAAACTCAGCAAAGTGATAGTGTTTTTGACAATTTGACATAATAGTAGATCAGTTTATTTCATGGTTTTGAACCTTTTCTTCAAAATATGTGGCCAATACCGAAGACAACAAATCAAGAAGACTGGCAACTTTGACAGAGTCCAAGCGACAGATACAGTGACGCTGCGCTTGAGTGAAGGTGGAAGCAACGCATAGAAAAATGAGCAAATACACAAACCTTTCGTCTGAGGATGTAATCTTTGCTATCAAATTCGTTCGAAGTTTTTACCTTTGAGCGGCAGATGACGTGATTGTACCTGTTTCATAGCGTTTGTATGAGAAAATGGAAGGGTTGCCAATCTTCTTGATTTGTTGTCTGCCAATACCCAGTCTTCATGAACATTTTAAAGAGAGATTTTAAACATTATTACTATTTACTGCCGTCAATCAGATATTGTTATTGCAATCAAGGTATGTAAAAAATAAGCTTTGATAAGCGTTATACTGCACAGAAAAAAAATTCTGAATTTTAACTGTCGCGTAAAATTTCCCTTAGTTTAATTTTGAGCTATACTTGGCATAAACAACGAAATCGTTTACAAGGTTGCATACAATATTGATAATTTATGCGATATTGCGCTAAAATTTACACGAAATATCGCGTAAATTTATGCTAAATCTAGCTTAAATGTTATGGGCACTATATCTCGCATAAGTTTACATGAACTTTTCGAACGGTGTGAGGCAATACGATGCGAAGCGATATCGTTTGCAATAATTGCTATTGTACTGATTTCAATCGTTCATCATGCGTGATTGAAAAAGGTAACCAAACTACAGTCGGGTATCCTTATTCCCAGATGGTTTTTGTCCGTATTCCATTATTTGGATTCCTAGATGCTTCGGCTTCGGCAGGTAAAATGCTGACCGGATATGCTATCCTTTGCAGCAAACTAACGGGGTCCAAGTATCCGGAAAAATAATACGGACGAAAAACCATAGGGTGGAATCACTACTCCCTGCATGCTGCAATATTCCAGTATTGACAAAGGCGTAGGCAGGAGGCAGGAGGGGGCAAGTGTGATTTTTTTTATGTTACCCTTGATCTCTGTCTCGATGAAAAATCTAAAGGACACTCATAAATGTGTTAAACAGTTTAATAGTCAGCCTGAATTGGAACAATCGACCATGTATCAACTGTTCTTTTCATACAGCCCAATTATCTAGAGATTGAACTCAACCCTGATTTTCTTAAATCTTTAAATCTACTAGATCTGTAATTAACTACTTTCGTTCAAAAACTAAGATTCGAATCAATTATTTTTTGTCTGTTTGTTTCACATTTACGAATATAGTCACTGTTTTATGTTTCATAGAATTGATCCTGAATAGAAGGTTTTTTAATATAACTCATGGGCATGAGCATGATTGACCACCCTCGGTTGCTACTCAGTTATTTTCAGATCAATTGTAATTACGCAGAGAACCAATAGACGATGCTTGGGACTAGCAATCATCCTTAATGTGTAAAAACTGGTGCTCTCAAACTAGGCAATACTAGCGCCTTCCGCGTCTGAACGTGTGTCAAGAAAGGGGTAGTAACAACCGGTGGAAACTATCGATTTGAAATTGGCTCACTTCTTGACTAGCCTATTGGTCCCAAGGAAATCGATTAACGCACCCCATTCTAATCGAAATTCTAGTACTACACTATGTTTGTTTTGATTTGCTATGAAAGTTTGACAGATAAAATGAGGGGTTCGTGGATTTTCTTATGTTTCGAGGGGTGCATCGAATAGCTTGGGACCGAAGATAGTACCAGAGCTGAGCCAAAAAGTTGAGCACGTGTCTTCGGGACCTACCAGTTTTAGAGTTACCTCTATGGTAGTAATGTGTTGACGTGACACTCGCTTTGATGGAAGCCCAGAACACCTCTGCACTTCCACGAGGAATCACTGGGATATTGAATAAGAGGTTTGGGTTTGCAGCAGGGTTCGTTTTGGTAAACGATAAGCTGAATTGATATCCTAACGATCCTATAAGGCAAAAAAGCTTAGGATTGAACCCACGGTCTTCTGCTCAGTAAGCAAAAACGTTTGCCACAAGGCAAACGAGCTCCTTTTATTACAACACACTAATGATCGATTTGTTCTTATTCCAATGTATTCACATTAACAAATAAAACAATTAACGAATGTGGAGGGGCTTGAGATTAAACTCATGATGTTCTACTCAGTAAGCAAAAATTGTCGCTCTAAGGCCACCAAGCCCCTCATATCACATCATACAAGCTACGATCGCAAATAATAATCAACTTTCAACTTATAGCTGCAAAACAAAGCTAATAAAGTGAATATATACCTCATTTGATGGTTTCTACACAACCAACCACTCTTGCTGAATAACATAAATATCAAAAGTGCAAATAAACAATCTTTACTCAGCTAATAAACTGTGCTAGTGCTACTTTGGAAGCAATTTTACAGTCAACTAGATTTATTGTTAGACGTGTGCACTGTTACAGCTTTTACTCTGGTCCTTTACAAAGGTGAAGTAACTAGTCGAAAAAAGTGATTCATGCACACTTATAATAGTCTCTACTCAGAGATATTGTTGTAGACAGTCATGTAGATTATTTTACGTTAGTTCAAAGTGTTGGCGTAGCGAAGTTGGTAGCGTCATGGTTTGCCAATGCGGTCGTCTTGAGTTTGATTCCAGGTTCCGGTGCAGGGTAAATGACTTGGTGGTGTGCTTATAAATAATTTCGCTTAATTTGATTCGCACAGCAAAATAAACTCAATCAATTCCTCGAACCACAAAAAGAAACCTACACAATATTTAACCAGGCTTCAAGAGAAAGCTGTGTAGTGGTATTGGATAGCCGGGAAAAAGTTGCACAACTAAACAGCAGGATATCAGCTGTTTAGAAGCGCAAATGGAAGTGAAATAAGAGCTTGTTCCAACCATCCCCACAGCCATAATTAGCTGACTAAGGTCGCCAGATTTATAGACTGTATAGAGGTTAAGTAAAGGTTGCCTCATATTGTATAACGTTTGAATACAGCTTGAGGCTCTATAAATGAAATGAGTAAAGCGTAAACATTGTGAATTTTTTTAATTGGGTACCGTCAGTCTCCAAACACGGCCCCCATGATCGCGTTAAAGACGCATCTAACAACACATCAAAAACCAAGCTTACATGTTCGATCGCGACATTTGTTTTCTTGCATGAAAAAAAAAAACCATAATGCATTATTCGTAAGCACCTAACCGCAAAAACTGAGGAGCATGCATCACACGATCGAGGTCATCCCTCTGGCAAATGGGAAAATAAATCTCGATTACTTCCTCGAAGGGACGTACCCGCTCCCGCAAACAATGCATCCGAACCCTAATCCGGCGCAACCGGCATTCCGCCCACGCATGCAAATTTTCCTCTACCCGCTGCCAGCCACACCAAACCGACCATGAAACGCACTGTCCACAATAGCAGACACGTCCCCTCAAAAATGCAATCGATAAACGTAAATATAAGAACAATCTTCAACTCGAACGTACTCACCAAATAAATGTATCCGGGAGCATATTCTCGATGCTTCCACGCATATTTTCTTAATAAAATACTATTGATAAGTGAATTTCGATCTGTTTGGCATGGTAATGAAATTTCTAGAGCAATCAAGCTGTGCATTTTTTTTATATATATTTGCTGAAAATACAATCATTCATATTTTTCTATATTACCGTTTATAAGACCTGGGTCACCGGATAGAAAGCACCTTGGATCACATCACACCTTGGATTCATTGACAAAAAATTCTCCGATAAACTTTGCAGTATCGTTCGATTCCATTTAATTGACGAACAAGTTGGCGC